AATTAAAACTTATTTTCAATTTTTTTAAAATTAAAACTTACCTTCAAATTATTTTCTAATGCTAAGACTATAACCAGATGGCACCCAGGCCTGGAATGGGTCTGCCTTGGGCCCGGCAGCCGTGTGTGGGCTCTTGACTCTGTGCAGGAAAGATTTCAACACAAGTCCAGGTGATTTTGAGAGTATGTTTACTATAGCTGGGGACAATGAAATGAGTGAAGGGCTTAGAATAGAAAAATCAGCAGGAGACAGCCTAGGTGGAGCTGCTTTAGCTTTTTATTTATTTATTTTATTTTTATTTTTTAAATATATATTTTATTAATTTTTTTACAGAGAGGAAGGAAGAGGGATAGAGTGCTAGAAACATTGATGAGAGAGAAACATCTATCAACTGCCTTCTGCACACCCCCTACTGGGGATGTGCCCGCAACCAAGGTACATGCCCTTGATGGGAATCGAACCTGGGACCCTTGAGTCTGCAGGCCGGCGCTCTATCCACTGAGCCAAACTGGTCAGGGCGCTTTAGCTTTTTAAAAACGTTATAGGAAAGAAATGGGCCACACAGACTGCATGAACTCACTGAGAAGTAAAATCACAGTGACAGAAGTGAGCCAAGATGGGACTGCGGCTAGCTCACTTCAAAGTCAGAGAAAAAGGGCCCTGGGAGACAAGTTCAGGGGGTTAATCCAGGCTGAGCTGCTACTGCCCACTGCTCCCCTGGTTGCAAGTCTTGTGTGGACCCTTAGAGTTTAGGAGAAAGGGAGCAGAGATACATGCCTAAAGGAGAAAGACGTGGGTGTGCTCTAGAAAGAGAGCCTCTTCGTCCTTTGTCTTGAGGCTCTTTATCTTTCATTAGCCAGTGGAAATCCTAGGGGAGGTCTCAGGAGGGGGGGGGGGTCTGAACAGAATATTCATTAGTTTTCCAGGTGTGTCCTTCAATATGTCAATTAATCTAAATGTGCATAAAGAGGGGTCAGGATTCTTTACCGGTTAGTTTTGTTTTTGTTTTTTATTTATTTATTTATTTTTCTGTTCATCAGATTATTTATTCACTTGATTCTTAGATTCACTTGTTGATAGATGCATATTTGTTGTTCATAATTTGTATCTTTACCTTTTTCTTCTTCTTCCTCTTCTTAAAGGATACCTTTCAGCATTTCATATAATACTGGTTTGGTGGTCATGAACTCCTTTAGCTTTTCCTTATCTGTGAAGCTCTTTATCTGACCTTCTATTCTGAATGATAGCTTTGCTGAATAAAGTAATCTTGGTTGCAA